ACAAAACTCAGAATGAAACTGGCGGGAGCTGTCAGTATGTTCTGCAGAGTTTCATCAAAACCAGCAGCTGTAATCCTTAAATTATTAGAGGAATATCCTTTGGAAGGGGGGAGAAAATACTTCAAATGTATTATCCCTGCAGTGATAAGAATGATGTTGGAATTCCACCTCTAGCTCCAGACACCAAAAATTAAAGCAAAACATTAGAAAGGATGCAGGAAAGAGAAGTGAAAAACCTGAAAGCTGTGGAAAATAGGGCTGCTAATACTGAATTCAACTTTGTTCAGGGACTTTTGGGAGGAAGCACTCAGAGGCAAGTTGAGCTTCCTTAAAGTCTCCCAGCTGAGAAGGGCTGAGATCTGAAAATATCTCTATGTTATATTTTATATATTTATTTTATTTTACTTTGGAGCTGCAGCCTTAGCTAGGTACTTCTAACCTAGTACATTACAGCACATCACAGGAAGTAGTTTAGTCTCTTTAATGAACAGTTCTCTGACCCCCATGGCAACCAATATAATATAATATGTATTATATTAATATGTAATATTAATTATCAATATAATATATAATAACATATAATAACTTTATATAATATACTATATGTATAATATATAATTAATATGTTCTATTATATATTAATTTTGAGCAGTCTTAGGTTCTTTGCAAAAGGCTGGAATATTAAGAATATTTTTAGCATAAGAAGCCTGTGTTACTTGCTTCTGTTATACAAAGTATTTTTTACCATAGTTCTGAGTCTACTTCAGTAGACTCAGAAGTGTACCTGGGCTGTTTCAGAATTCATTGCCAGATGTTTTGCATTAAAACCTTTGTAGAAATTTCCTTCAAGTGCAATTGGGATGTTAATTTGTTTTTATTGAACTTGCAGAGTAGTAGGCCAAGACTGTACATTGAAGGGAAGCAACTTCCCTAGTATTTTTTACACTGATCTAGTCAGTCAGAACATGTTTTGCTTTACAAGTCTTGTGGTATTTGTTCCAATTCCCTTTCTATAAGTCTCTGCTATAATTTTTAGGGTATTTTCAGGTTCAATGAACATTAATATTATTCCACATTTGAAAATGATAACTAATAAATGAAAAATTGAAATAAATAAATGTAACAAAAATTTTAAATAAATAAAAAAGTGAAATCCAGCAAACTAGAATGTAAATATGAGAGTGAGTTCATGCTTCAAGAGTATATAAGCAGAGCCATACCATCTCTGATTTGTCAAGCATAACTGAGTCCCTCAGGGTGATTTTGCTTGGCCAGTCAATCTGGTGAATATGCAGGAATACTGAGAAAAATATCTGAAATAACTGGTCTTGTTTTGGTAAGGTTTTGGGCATTTCTTTTTTGTTTATTTTTTTTCCTTCAGTTTGTGCTGGTAATAATCTATCCAATCTGACTAATTTAAAATTGCAGCTTGTGTGAAAACAGGTTTCCCTTAGCTTTACATACCAGATTGCTTCTGTTCCTACCTTAAATTTCTGCAATAATTTTTCTGCTAGGAAATTGTTTTGAGGATTACCCATCAGATTGCAATTTTGCAAAATGGGATGTCACATCCTCTAACAAGCTTCACTCCATAAAACTGTTTCCAGATTGCTGTTTTGGACCCTTTTACTGACCTTTAACTCTGGAATGACCTCTGCCAGCTGTCCCTGCCAGCCAGGGAGCAGCGTGCTGTCACTTGTGAGGAGCTGGAAATTCCTGTGCCACATTTCCCAGCCTGGAAGACCCAACACGCCTGATCTGTGGAATAAACCAAGGAACAAAAAAAACAACCACCCACACGCACAGTAAATACTACTTCTGCAGAAAATAACCTGCCCTACTTGCTATCTGAAACAGTCACAAATATTTAATGTGGCCCAGGATTAAAATAGCTGGGAGTGACATTCGGGTGGCACAACAAAAGAGGTGCTGAGAGGTCTGGGTAGCCTGGCCTGGTGAGAGATTCTGTGCACAGGAGGGGCACAAAGGTATGGGGAGATTGTTGTTTGCTGATGGAAGGAACTACTCAGCTTTTTGAGAGGGGAGAACATTTTCAACGAGCCCATCTGGTTTTTAAAAGCACTGGTGAGCAATGGAAATGTTCCCAATATCTGAAACCAGGTTATTGAAAAAGTGTTAAGATCAGGATTCATTTAAAGTTAAAAAGTAACATTAGAAAAAGCCATCTGGCTGAATAATGTGTTCATATCCTAAGTCATGTTTTCTGATTTCTGCGGTGAAAAGTAATGAATTGTACTGTCTTTGCACTATTTGCTAAGAAATTTTTCACAAATCTCTTGTCGTGAAATAATTAGGACCCGTGGTATTGTTATAGTAATTGGTGTTAATTGCTGGTTTTAAACAGGCATCTATTGTAGTGGTATTTGAGGAAGAAGCTCAGAATTCAGTAAATCACCAGAGAACCAGATTGCTTGAGAATGACCCTAAAATCTTCACAAAAGGAAGGACAGGACTGATTCAGAATAACGTAATTCTCAACTGGTTTTTGGTTTTTTTTCCTCATCTGCAAATGGACGAAAATATTAGAAGCCAAGATAATACCTTGGCTGTTTAACATTGCCATAATTTTTGAAAACTTCTGAAACAGGTTTCACTGTTTCAGAAGAAATAAGAACAGGTTAAGTTAGGCTGGTGCCTAATTGTAAAGAGGGCTTTGGGACCCAACTGTGCAGCTTTATTGCTGCTCAGAAAACATCAACAGCCAAATCAAAGTGTTAACTCCCCTGAAGTGTGCCCATGTTTATATATGCTCAAGCATATATAAAAAAATAAATATATATGGGGAGAGAGAAAGAATTATATACACATACATCCAAGTGATTCATTTTATATATATACATATATATATACACATATATATACTCTGATTTTTTTTATAAGTTAAGATAAAGTCTCCATCCTTTCTGTGCTACTTGTCATGGAGGAGCAGAACATGGGAGGCAATGGTGAGCTGAGCTCTCAACACCTCTCTACCATCCGAATTTTCTTCTGGCTCTTTAATCTAGGTTTGCTGTGAAATCTTGGAGAATCAGGGATGTACATTGGCACTGATAAAGTGAGGAGTTTTCTTCTTCATTTACTCTGTGCTTCTTGGTTTGTGTGTTTGCATAAAACCTGGTAAAACCTCTTGTCCCATTCAGAGTCAGTCAAAAGAGGGAAAGCAGCTATTTCTGCAGCTTTTGAGGAATGCAAAGAAGTAAAAAAGGAAATTTTATTAAAATTTGATTCACGGTTTTGGGAGTGGTACCTCCTGGAAGCAAAAAGGAGCTTAAAATTCACGACACCAGAACTGATATTGGCCAGCAAGTGGAACTACTGAGACTGGAATGAGAAATGTCTGATACCAGGTAAAATTGCCTGGTAAAGGGATGGCTGAGTGCTCACCTTTGCCTGCATTTTCATCTTCAACCCTGCAGTTTTACCTAAGATGTAATCCTAATGTCCTGAACATCGTCTCATCAATTCCACAATATTTTGTGTATTTTTTAAGTTTACTTTTTTCACCAACTATTAGCAAATTAAGTTCTAATTTCACTAATTAGCAAATTAAGGTCTCTATGTTTTATGTGAAGCCAAGAGGAGCAGCCTGCTATCTGGGAGAACTACTTTTCATTTTCTGTAGAAATTTCTTTCTATATCTCTTTATTTATATGTTTGTTTGTTTATTTAAATTTATATTTATATAATAACAATATTGTTATATATAACTATAATTATATATAATTCTATATTAAATGAATATATGTAATGTAGTTAATATTTCCACAAAACTATGATAGGATTTCAGTTCCCAACCCCAAGGCACATGCTTTTCCCATGCATACACAGTAATTTAGTGACTGGAAGATTTATTCTGTTTAGAGAATCAGAAGTATTGCAAGCTAGGTACAAAACTGAAATTAAATAGAATACTCTTGTACTTCTATGGGGTTTTCACCTGGAGGAAATCAGCCCTAAGATCTGTGGAGTGAGGAAACAGCTGACATTCCTTTTTCTGTTTCTTCAACATCTCACTGAAATCGCAATTTATTCAGCTTTTAGGGGTGCAACTCTTACAATCCTATAGCCATTGAATGGTTTCAGTTGGAAGCCCTCCTGCCATGGAAAATAGTAACACTTCAATAGGCTGGCATTACTGAGTAATGAAAAGCTGCTTCTGCAGGCCAAGAGAACTGAAATATAAGGCCAGCTTAATCCCAAATGAGCAATCTTCATGCTAAGGCTGTTCTGTCAGAAATTCACAGATCTGTCTCTCAGTAATGTCAGTGGAAATTCTCTGGCAGGCTAGAACAGCATCAACCCCTAAAGAATTACATGGTTTGGATACCAAAGGACAACTAATAAAAGAAAATGTAACAGCTGAAATAAATGAATCACTGCACAAACATTAAGTACCTTTATCACTGGTGAAATAAATGTAAACTGAATATTTTATTGATTTTGAGGTGAAAATTCTTGATGAGATTTTTCAGAGAAACAATCTGAAGAGATCTGTACAATTATATTTAACTGGCAATTAGAGCATGACAATTTAGTTCTGAAGCAGAGAAGATTGCTAACAGTTTAAGATATACCCCAAAGGAAGGACCCAGGCCTTTCTCTTCCCCACCGCTGTGTCTTTTCCCATCATCACTATTTCAACCTTTCAAGAAGGATTGTGCAACCACTGCTCTGTCTCCTCCTACCTTTTCCTGACCTATTTATTTATTAGGGTACTGGCAGATTTCCATCCCTCTCCAGCAGGGATAATTCATTATCTGTGTATAGAATCTTGGGCAATCTATCAAGCTGTGAAATTAAATTGCTGATGAAAAAGTATTCTCGTATTTTACTGTATCCAAATTGCAAATTCATTTTTATTTAAAGTTCATTTTGAGATGAGATCTGGACTTAATTTTATTCATCTGTAGTTCAAAGTTGAAAGGGAAATTACCTTAAGTGCATTCAAATGCCTTCTCTTTCCATTTTCTCTTTTATCAGCTCTCTCAGAGAACACTTGTTTGAACAGAGTTACTTATCAACACTGGTAAGAACAATTTTTTTTTGTTTTGTTTTCATTAGTTTTCAATATTTTTCCTATGTTTCTCAATTTTTAAACAGATAATCTAAACAGATCTGTTAGAAAAGTACTTTGGAATTAATAATATATTTTTTTTTCCAATCCATTTTGACATCTTTCAAATTTCTTGAATATTTTTTTAAAAAGTCCGGACTGGATATTCTTATGGAAGTAGAAAAGAGAAAAATATATGAATAAAATATCTGAAAAATATATCTGTTTTCTGGCCTTGTAACAATCTGAAAAACAGAGAAAACCAGCAGAAAAATATATCAGGCCAAGAGCAATGATGCTACTTATATCATGGTTACTTTGGAAAATATTGAGCTGGAAAAAAAATTGTATTATTGGAAAATATCTGCAGTGCTGTGAAAGGCAAGTAAGCAAAACTTGAAGAGGAACCCCTTCTGATCTTGATTACAGTAGTAGTGTCACTAAAGTAGATCTGACTTCTACTACTTGTTTGGAAGAAAAAAATAAAGAAGTCAGCATTAAAATCAAACCAAAAACCCAAACAAACCAAACCAAACAAGCAAAAAAATGTGTTTATCAGAGTTCTATAAGAATTTCCAGATACCAAATAATGGAAAATTTTCAAGAAATCACTTGACCCATTCTTGTGAAAAAATCTGAGTTACATTTTTCCTTAACAAATATTAAAGTGGTTGCACACCACTTTGGAATTAACATCCTTTATTTTTGTGAAAAATCCTTATTTTACAAAAATAATGCTTTGGAATTAATATCCTTTATTATTGTGAAAAATCCTTATTCTACAAACATACTGTAGAGGAAAATTCACGTGGCTTTTTAAGTGATGGTCATGTGGAGAAGACTGATTATTTCAATACCCAGTAAGTTAAGAAATGCCTTTTGAAAGAGTAAAGAGTTTATACAACCAGAGGAGTGGTCAGATGATATGAAAGGTTAGGCTGTTGTTGGAATAGAGTGGATGTGCTTGTAGTTGCCAAGTTGAATAGTCACTGACCTTTAATTTGTTCAGGTTTCCAAATAGTAGGCTGAAATTTTCTATTTGAACGGGAAATTTATTTAGTATTTAATTTGGTGTATTTGTTCAGCTGTAATTGCTATCCTCAACTCTGCCATCTTCTCATGTGTAAGAGGTTAAAGCAAGCATAAAACCAAATGCTGGCTACAGAGACTCTTTTGAAACCTTCACTAATGCAATATAAATCTCTTCAAGAAAAGGGTTCTGTTGAACAAAGGTATTATTTTGTATCCTATAAAGTACACTAGAAAAATTCCTACAATTCCTACACTAGAAAATTTTCCTGCCACCTGCAAAATTTGGGGATTTGTGGCTTAGAGTGAAAAGACAGAATGTAGTTGGTTACAATTCAAGTTCTGTGATGAATGCCATGACATAAACCACGTGTAAAAAGCCCTGTGGCACTACCCGTGCACCCATATATATATAATTTGTGCCATTTTGAAATTATTGCCATTTCATATTGGCTCTTGTGGCTGTGGAGAAAATTCCGGTTTCAGAGAGTGCTTTCTCAGCAGTGCTCCACAGAGGTTGACATTGCCACATCTCTCTCTGTTTTAGCTCACTAAGGTGAATTGTAAGTGAATTACTCCAGGTGAAGATGCCTTGCTGTTAGAAGTGGCTCTGGATTTTGGGCAAAACAGCTGAGTCACTTGGATGTGGTGACAACAGCAATGACTGTATTTCCCTGCTCAGAATTATGAACCTTCTTTTGCAGGTTCTTCTATGAATCTTTAAAGTTTCTTCCCTATGAACTTTGTAAGGTTCTTCTATGAGCCTTTATTTATCTTCTTTGAGATGTTTACCTGCTTTGAGCTTTTGTGGGAAGACATGGAGGTGCACAGCTCCTCTCTGGGCTAAGCAGCTCTCTGAGCCACAACAGGTTTTCTGCAAGGTCAACAGCACTTTGCAGCCTACTACTAAATTCAATGTATTTCAGGGGTGAAGGTGATATCTCTTAAATTATTTGATGGTTTTGTGCAATGAAGCTGAGTTCTGATTCAGTCATTGAACTGCCCTTGTGTTTTCCATCAGATTTCTGTTGCAGAGCCTGAAGAAACTGTCACACTTTGTCAAAGCCACAAGCCTGTGGCAGATGGTGATTAAAATAAATAGACCCTCATAACTAAAGCCTGCACCATTTTTCATAGTAAGGGGCTCTCTGCAGATGCTGATTTATTGGAGACTTAATCATTGTGTTCACAATGGCAAACCTAAGATGTTTGCATTAATGTGGTTAATGAAAATCATCAACTGCATTAAATAGCATTATGTCAAAAATCAGTCTTTAGGGAGTTTGTGTACTCAAAAATTTTTTGTTCTGGTGCTTACTGGAATAATCAAGGAAAGGTTTATAACAAAGTCTTACTGCTATTTCTAGGAATGCTGAAAGATTCATCAAGCTTTTGAGGTAAACATTTCAGATTACTCTTTTAGAGCTGTTGTTGCATGTACATCACTTCTGCTGGTTAACCCAAGTCAGCTGTCACTGCTTTTTCTTCCAGTTCACTTGGTCACAGGCTGACTCATTTTTTTGTCCATCTCTAAAATACATTTAGAGCTTTGAGAAAGACTTACGGATCACCAAATCACAAAAGAGAGAAATATATTTTGAACTGTACCATTATATCTCAAATATTTTCCTATTCTGAAACCTAAAGAGAAGGTTCTAGTAATATAAATTTATTCAGGTGTAGACTTTAATTGCCTGCTGAAGAAATTGCAGCACATCATGAAACACTTCTAATTTCCATGTCACCTTGTATGATGATGTCATTCCCTTGCAAGAGATTTAATTTTTCTACAATAACTTCTGTTTAAGTGTATTTACTACCTACTCGAGTTATTTTTTTAGCTTCAAACTGTATATTTCAACTAATATTAGAATGTTATTTTATCAATTGGAATATTATTTATATTATTATTTAATTAATGAAAATCTTATTTAATACTTATGCAAAACCACAGTTCTAGCAAATTTTTATCTGTCCTGTGGAATTACAAAAATTTTGAAAATACTTTATCAGTTAGAATATATCAAGAAAAGATTTCCCAACAGTTTTCTGCTTGTTGATAGTATCTAGAACTAGATGATAAAATGAAGGTGTAAGGTTGCTTCTGCAGGCAGATAGATAATGTGATTTACATTAGGTCACAGTGAATCTCCAATAGATTAAAAGTACTTTGAGTCTAAATCTTAAAATGAGAATCCCAATGATTTCCAGCTATGTTGTTACCAAATTCATGGATATTTACACAACTGTACAGTTTCAGCTTGGTTTTTATCAATTATTGACCTTTGCAAAACAGAATCAGTCATTTTCATGTTTTCTACCTTTTCTTTTTGTTGTGTCATTAAACAACCCTCAGACCCTAATTTTGCTTTCTCTACACCATTTATCTTGATCTGTTTATTGTATGATCATCATCCTTTGATTGTTTTTATTGGTATTCTCTGAAAACATGTCAGATAATTAATGGATACACTTTTAGACCTGACTGAAAAATTATTCTATTAGTCAGAAAATTCCTTCCAGTCAAAGCAGCTGTGTTTCCATTGATGTAATAAAAAATTGGATTATTTATTTGTCCTCTGAAACTTGTCTTTAAAAAATATGTTGCTTTACATTAACAATGAGAGGTTCTATTTTAAATTGCTTTCAGAAATGATATTATCTTGACATAGAAGATATTTACTAAGATGTTTAGTTAAGACATTGAATTGATGTAGATATTATTGACACAGAATTTTAGTTGCTAAAGGTCATTCATCTGCAACTGCACTTAATCATTTATGGAAAAAAAACAAACCAGCCTTCACTTAGTGGTATCTGTAAAAATATTCTCCTGCCCATTTGTGCCATTGATTTGTGCTTTTTCAGACAGGCCCCCTCTGAGAGAAGGGTGAGGAGCAGCTCCTTGTAGTTTGTAAAGAGCTGGCAGAGTAATTATTGAAGGATTTGAGGTATGGATTCATCCTGGATACATGCTTTAAAAAAATATTACACACTTTATACAATTATATATTTTCTTTATACAACTATTGAAGGATTCAATGTATGCTTTATCCTGGATACATACTTTACAAAAATATTATATACTTTATACAAATATACTTTATATGTAATATATACTTTATAATTATATGTATAATATTATATATATTTACATTATACAATTACTGAAAGATTTGAGGTATGGCTTTATCCTGGATAAATACTTTACAGAAAATATTATACACTTTATACATTTATATCTATACATTATACAACTATTGAAAGAGTCAATGTATGGCTTTATCCTGGATAATTTGTACAAATATTATATACACTTTATACAAATATTATGTACTTTATACATATATATACTTTATGTATAATATATGCTTTATAAAATTATTGAAAGATTCAAGGTATGGCTTTATCCTAGATAAATACTTTATGCAAATATTATATACCTTATACAATTATATATATACTTTATACAACTATTGAAGGATTCAAGGTATGGCTCTATTGTGGATGCATACTTTACAAAAATAATTTATACAATTATATGCAATTATTGAAAGATTCAAGGTATGGCTTTATCCTGGATAAATACTTGTACCAATATTATATACTTTATACAATTATATATATACTTTACACAATTATTGAAAGATTTGAGGCATGGCTTTATCCTGGATCCTTGCTGGGATCATTTCAAGGTACCAAAAGCAGAGTGAATCATTAGCAGTGTGCAGTGGCAGCCCAGAAAGGCAGCTGGGTTTGGGCTGCAGCCAGAGCAGGGTGAGCAGAGGATGAGGAGGGGATCCTGCCCCTCTGCTCTGCTCTGGGGATCCCAGCTGGAGCTCTGCATCCAGCTCTGGGCTCCCCAGCAATGAAAGAGCACTGCTGCATTGAGTCCCCCAAAATCAGAGGGATGGAGCACCTCATGCACAAAAATGACTGAGAAAATTGGGATTGCTCAGTATGGAAAAGAGAGGGCTTTGGGGTGAGCTCACTGTGCCTGCCAGGAGCCAGCAAGAGAGATGGAAAAGGACTTTTTCTAGGGGATGCAGTGACAGGACCAGGGGAATGGCTCCACAGTGAAGGACAGCAGGTGCACATCAGATATTAGGAGAAAATCCTTCCCTGCAGGGGTGGGAGGCTCTGGCACACCCTGCCCAGAGGAGCTGTGGCTGCCCCATCCCAGGGCCAGCCTGGGAGGGGCTCTGGGCAGCCTGGGGTGGTGACGGAGTCCCTGCCCATGGCAGGGGGCTGGAACTGGATGGTCTGGGAGCTCCCTTCCAGCTGGAACAGTTCAATGCTTATAAGAGTTTCACCCCTAAAAACTGAATAAGCTGTCATTTCACGTGATGATGAAGAAACAGAAAAAGGAATGTCAGTCTTTTCCTCACTCCACAGATCTGAGGGCTAATTTCCTCCAGGTAACAGTCCCACAGAAGTAAAAAAGTATTCTATTTGATTTCAGTTTTGTACCTAGCTTGCAATACTTCTGATTCTCTAAACAGAATAAACCTTCCAGCCACTAAATTACCGTATAAGCATGGGAAAAGCACGTGCCTTGAGGTTTGGAACTGAAATTGTTTTGTTTTGTTTTTTTCTATGGAAAATGAAAAGTAGCTCATTCAGATAGCAGTCTGCTCCTCTTAGCTCCACATAAAACCTTAATTTGCTAATTAGATAATAGTGAAAAAAGTAAATTTAAAAAATATATATTGTGAAGTTCAAGAGATGAAATTCAGCACATTATGAATACTTCTACAATTCTGTGATTGGGAATGTTTTGGCTAAATCTGACAAATCTACAAATTAATGTCCCTTTGTTTGTGACTTCGGAATATGCTGAGAGGTCTAGTTTAGCAAAGATAATCTTAAATATAGAGTAGCTTAATGGGTTTTGTGAGATTTAAGGTTCAGCCACAGATTTCAATACCGTGTATTCTGTTTAAAGTGAGTGCATTTCTATCTCAGAGTGTTGTGGGACTGAGGAGTGCAGAGAAATTCTCCTGCTACACCCTAAAAATATCCACTTTAGCATCTAGCTCCGTGTTGTCTCTGCAAAGGCACGTTTTGATTTAAATGGGATTAGCAGTGTGCATGAAGTTAAGCATGTCCATAAATGTCTGCAAGGCTTTAGTTATTCAGTGCACTCATTATCTCAATTTGTTGTTTCATGGAATTATTCCAAGTATCTCATCTAATCACATTCTCCTGGAGGCACAACATAAGCCCACAATAGCATGAGCTATATATAGCTCCTTCCATTTTTATGGAAGATCAATGGAACATTTTGATTGCCAGTGAATGCATGTTTCTGTGAATCACACTGCAGGAACTAAAATCCCTCAATGAGAGCATGCCATGAATTCCCATAGCTAGAAAGCTGAGCTAGAAGTGCAGTTTTTTAGATGAAAACATTATCTAATAATATATGGATATATTTATATAATAGTTGTTAATATATCTATTTATTATTATATAATTATAAAATAATTATATTATTATATATTAGCATATTATTATATTATAATGTTTATATCTCTATTATCATTGTATACTATATAATATACATTTATTATGTATAAAATGGATAACTATTATTATTATATTAATATATAATCTATTACGTTACTATATGTTATAATATATATAATATATTATGTTATATATATTCTGTATTATATTTGTTTATATATTACCATCAATTATATCACTATATTGATAATATATTTATATAATTGGTGGTAATATATAAACAAATGTATAGCAATGTATTATAAGTAATATAAAATAGGTATAAAAATGTATAGTGATGTATTTTAAGTAATATAAGTATATTAAGTAATTTTAAGTAATATAAGTATTATAAGTAATATAAAATAGGTATATATATATATAATTAAAGACTGATTTATATAAATTTTAACATAAACTTGACTCTACTGTTTGTATACTAGTGATCAACAGATGCAGGAAAACACCATCAGTGTAATGAATGAAATTCAGGCACGTGCTCTTCACTGAAGACATTTTACTGTGTGTGTTTCAGGTACTTCTGAATCAACAACCTTTGGTACTTAGTTTGAAACGCAGCTGGCAAAGAGCCCAAAGAATTCTGTTTTCAGTAGTGCTGCTGCAAGTCTGTTGAATTACTTTATGTTATTGAAAGGAGAGCAGAATGTGAGCAAAGATTATGGCCTATTTCTGCTGAGTTTGCTGCTTTCATCCTCAAAAGCAGTCACAGGAATCAATGGAAGTATGGAAATGACATTTGAAATGTGTAAACACGGCAGAATGTGACTCCACTGAACTTGGAAGGACTCGATAGTATTTCTTACCCACCCATCCTCAAAGAAAATCTGAATTTGCTTTCAAATAGAGGAGGTAAATAAGTAAATTTTTCCCTGCAGCTGGCAGCAAAATGGCAATATTAATGTTGCTGTGTATCGTTATCTGCTGAAGGAATTAAGCATGAATCATTTGAGAAGGAGCTGGCTAGCATTCCAAATCCTTTAATAGATGTTTTTGTTTCTAGATGTGCAATTCCTTTCTGACCTTGCCATTTAATGTGTTTTCCCAGCAGCTGAAAAATGGTGCTGTAACAATAATCACTGAGTATTTTTTGTCTTTATGATCATATGTCATTTTTCAATTGAACCAGACAGAGTCGGAGTAGGTCAGATGAAAGAATTCAAATACTACAATGCTCAAAAAATAGAGAATATCAATGAGTGAAATTTCAGATGAACACAATGGTTCTGAAATATCAGGTGGAATATTACTGATGATGAAGAGAACTAATATAAATTATGTTGATTTTTAATTTGAACATTATATTATTTATATAATATGTATATCGTCTACACTGATTAGATAATGTAGACAATATTATTTTAATAGCCTTTAATGAGATTTTCATTTCTCAGCTGAAAATCAGATTTACTTCCAGCTATCCTCAGGTAAAATTAAAGTAGTTTTTTAAAGCATTCAGGAAAAATATCCCATTTCAAACAAAATTTTCATTCATTTCTTTACCTCCTATATGTTTATCTGAACATATTCCTGCTTGCCAATGAGAACAGAAAAGTTCTGAAGTTCCAGATGAGGTACAGGCAACAAGGCTATAAAAATTATCAGGCATGATGTTCCTGCAGCTAAAATAAAACTGTGTTTCTTCTCTGCATGCATTCCTAGGGGGGTTGGGGAAGTTTAGCTTTTATTTGTTGTTTGAATTTGCTATATACAGAAGTTTTCCAGCTGTGGAAGAGCATAACAGAGAGTGTGGGATTAACACTTCAACAGGGTGAAGTTTGAGATCTTATTTTATTTCCCAAAATCCAATTAATATGAATGAAAACATAATTGGTTGCCATGGCAGTAAGTGTCAGTACTTGTTTATTTCTTGCGCTTTCCTTTGGCTTTTAATCCCTCTAGGAGTGCACATGAAACTGGAAAAAAAAAAGTTAAAATTGTTTTGTCACCGGTTGTTGTCTGCAATCCAAATAAATCCTAGTCAACAACTTTGCTCTCCAGGACTTCATGCCTGTTCCACTAAAAATGTAGTTTGGAACCTATAAATTGGAATGATGCCAGTGGCAAATAGAAAAAGGTGTCCCAAATGTTGGATCTAATTCCCAATGTACAGTAAAATAATCGCACCCTAAATTAGGGTTAAGGAGTTTTAACTTTTATTGATTTTTCATAACACTCTTACAGAGATTTCAGAACCAAAGGCTTCCCTTTCCCCTCTCCCTTCCACCCAAAAGGGGCCAAATAGGAGAAGTCAAAAGAAAAAAATATTTACATGTTGAGATAAGAACATTTTACTGGAAACAGAAATGAGGTAAAAAAATGAACAGTAAGAGCAACAATATTAATAACTAAAGACTACCAAAAAAAAGTGAGTTAACACTAGTTAAAATGGAAACAAGACATTTGGAATAGCAGCCAATAGTTACTAAAACTTTAATTGGCTTTGTAGGCCATGTAATTTTATGAACTGTTTGAGTAAGAAGGTAACTGCATCAAATTGATAGGGCAAACATATCAATATTGATACTGCAATATCAGTACATGTTCATACTTTTCCAGCTGTGCTTACCTGATCTGCAAGCAACAAGGGTAAAAATCAGATTCATAAAATGAATTTATTATGACTTCTTAGTCCTTCATTCAGAAGAACAATAGTAGAATATGATAATAGTATGTTTTAGGTTTATTAGATGGTCATTCAACAGTAATAGTTTCCTCTGCTATCATTTCTACCTTGAGATTTGCATTAGATGAATTTTGATCTTGTTACCAAAACAATTGTTTAAGGTAGTTCTTCTACTACATTTCCTGTACTGACAGATTTCTTTGACAAAGACCTCAAATTTGACCTCAATTCTCCCAGCTGGGAACAAGTTCTGGGTACTATTCAGTCAAACCAGTTAATTTTTCTTGCCCTTGTATTTTTCCTGTGACTGATGTATGAATTTGTAAAGAGCAGGCACAGAAAGTGTTTGGTGTACTGCCTGTTAGATTGCCATCTTTTTCTCACTATTTAGTTTTGCTGTTCATTTTCATCTTGCTGTCTCTATCTACTCCAAGATCAGCACCATTCCTGCTGTTATACAGCACATGCTGCTGCAGGGTTCTGATTTCTAAGTGATCTAAGTGATGCCTGAAGCACTACTACAGTATTAATTTAGCCTTGTTTTGGGGGAATAAACATAAGAAGAAAAGTATATTAATTATTGTAATTAATATTAATTATACAACATATACAATTAATTGTATTAAATAATTTATATTTATGTTAAGAATAAATTAATCAAAAAGTATCTGTAGATTTCTAAGAAAAATAGTAATGGAACAGCAGCGAAATCCATCCACTATCCAAGTAACTGTCCACTCTGAGTTTTTTCCTTCAGTCAGGATGTACTAATGAACTCTCTGCTGTTACAGGGTCAGCTCTGACTGCACCTAATCTTGGCCTAATCTTGCCATTTAGCTTGGATCCAGCCCTGATTGACCTAACATTAAGTAGAAAAGTAATCTTACACTGAAGTAAAAGTAGAAAAGTAAGTAAAGTTAAGTAGAAAAGCAATCGTACAAGAACATACACTAACCGCTGGTGGTGCACTGCCCTCCCCTGGCCCCCTCTGTCCCTCCCTTGCTCTTTAAAAAATCCAGGAGTCCAGACCCTACAATCCCAGGAATCCAGATCCTACAGTCCCAGGAATTCAGAGATCCTTTGATTTAGGAGTTTTGCTGTTCCCTGGACCTTTCCTGAAGCTCCAGCATGGCTGAGTCAGGGTCAGCCCTGTCCATTCTGAGCCGAGAGCAGCACGAGGGGTGTTTGGTGATCCCCAATGCCCCTGGATCACCACATTACTGCCTGAATTCATGGAATAAATCAGCCAGGACTCCATTTTCTTCATGCAGGAAAGCTGGTTCCTTATTCACATATTTCACACAGTTTTCACAGGGCTCGTGTTTGGCTCCCCTTGCTTAGTAGTTTTCTTGCCTCCTAATTTATTGCTTAGTAAATAGCATTTTACTTGTCTATCATATCTCTCTATTCTTGGCTTGTTTACGTTCTTTTTCTACTGGTTCTCATGGGACAAAGCCCTTGTTGTTGCTGGTGCTTTTGTTTTTCACCCTCAGAGTAGGTTGTTGTGTTAAGCAAGTTCTCATCCTCACAATAGTTTCACACAGGAATGTGCAACCTGCTTGATAGCATGTGGAGGAGGTGTCAGGGCAGCTTTGGCTATTTAGCAAAGCCAGGCCTGACTTCATAAGGCTTTTCTTCAATTATTCTTCTACCTGTCTTCTTCCTGTGCTTAGCCTACTACATAGCAATTAGTCTCTAAATTTAGGAACCTGGAGACTGACAGGAGCACCTTGCAGCCCTATAAGAAGAGGTCAGGACGTCCTTTGACATCCCTGAGGCTCCTGTGCCCCTTTGCTGCCCAGAGCTCACCGGTAAGCGTTAAATTATTAAATGATTAACTGATGTTAAATCCTTTAACAAAATCTATTGATCAAGTCTGTGGCAAGTTTGGCAAGGGGACCAAGTCTGAACCTCATGGCTCAAAGGCTCTCTCTTACCCTTTGCACTTTTATTTTTCTGTATCCCTGCTCTCCATGAGAGTTATTTTACACTGATTGTGTGATCAGTTTTCTTTTGTGGGCTTTATCTCTACAGTAAATAGCAGAGTAAACGTTGCCATCGAACTCTCCTCTGTTAGTCTGAGCTTTCACAAATTTCTATCCCAGCTCCATTTGCCAATACCTTTGCTGGTGGTTCCATTTGGTGGCAGATGGATGTTGGATATAAATTTAAAGAACACCACCGTGGTGGTACTCTAAGCTGCCTAAGCCACAAATTCACAGCACCATCACACTGGTTCAAAAACAGCAGCCTAAACTGCACTGTTGTTGCAATCCTTCGCACTATTGTGGTAAAACTTCCTGTTAGGCAAGGTATCAAATTTGTGGCATATGTCTGTAGGTCCTTAAGGAACTGGAGGATAATAGCCTTTTCAATATAAATGCAGAAACTGATTTATTTCCAGGAAATGTGGTGTGTTCTGTTGAATGTTATCATACATTACATAAAGAAAAACTCAAAGAAAATAAATGTCCTTACTGCAAAATTGCAGTTTTCTACATCTTCTGATTACTGTAGTTCCATTTGCCTTTAAGAGAACATTGGCAGTTTTTACAATGACTATTCCCACACTTGTCCATCCATTTTTTCTTGGAAGTAAATAGTCTACAACTGGCTGGGTACATTTAGATTTGTTGAAGCTGGGAAAGTGTTAAGCATGTAAAAAGAAAGAGTGAAAAATCTGTAAACATTAATTTCTTGCCTTGTAATTAGTGTTGTATTTTCTTATTTTTAGAATAATCTATGCTCTTAGTCATTGGTTTTAGTCACTCCAACAGGAGTGACTAATCCACCAAGAAAATAATGAAGCATCTTCAAAGAGAAATGTACTAATCATGAAAATGACAACATGGGGGTGGAAATTAAGGTGAATGATATGTAGTTTTAAAATCCTTGCAGGTGATACTGTGGTTCCCAAGGACAACTCCCCAGGACAAGAGAGCCAGGGAGGTTTGTGACAGACCGTGAGCCTTTGGTGTAATATTGTAGCCTAGAGGATCTTTTTTAGTTTTGTTTTATTTAGGGCTTTACCTTGAAAGCATGTACAGGATGTTAAAGTACATCAAATAGAATTTAAGCAGTGCCATGAGGCTGTACTCACCTGTGGAGCCATTGTAGTGGTTAGTAGTAGAAGCACCAGCTTTTATAACTGCAAGCTGGATCCAGGAATCTGTCTCCAGGGTTTGTTAAATTATGTTGCAACAGAAACTGTAGTTTTTATGTTTCAAAATTATTAGTGATAATAAAAAAAAAAGAAGTCTCTGATCTTTCAGTTAGCATGGAGTAAAAAAAAATAAAATCAATTG